CCAGTCAAACAGGGGACCTGAAGCGTCCAGTCAGATCTACTGACTGGACACCCAAAGTCCGATTACTTCAAGCGGGGGAGGCGTTGGGTCATCACCTGCTTCAGCCCCTACTCAGCCAGGGCTGCCTTCTACCTGCGTCGGGTGGCTGCAGCTCCCAGCCCCGGCTCCGCAGGTGAGTCCCTCCTGACCCAGGCGGGGTGGGTGGGAGGGGAAAAGCAGCGAGTGACGGGGGTGGGGGAGAAGAGAAGTGGATCGGGATGGGGCCTTAGGGGAAGAGGCAGGGCAGGGGAGGGGTTTTGGGGGAGTAGGCGGGGCAGGAGTGGGAATCATAGAATATCAGGGTTGGAAGGGACCTCAGGAGGTCATCTAGTCCAACCCCCTGCTCAGAGCAGGACCAATCCCCAACGAAATCATCCCAACCAGGGCTTTGTCAAGCCTGACCTTAAAAACCTCTAAGGAAGGACCTTGGGGCAAGGGGCAAGGCAGGGGAGGTTCCAGCACTCCTACTGTAGTGTCCAGTTTTTAAATATTACCACGTTGGCAACCCTAGCTCTGCCCTGACCCAGCTGCAGGATTCCCCACGGAACTGCCCAAACGAGCATCTGATGAGGATTCAGTGGGTGGGAGACGTCTGGGCTGCTCGCTGTGGGAGACGTGGGGGGCTGCGAGGAGCTGGACGGGGCAGAGAGGGACTTGGCTGCTGGGCTCTAGGAGATGGAGGCTCAGGAGTGAATTCCCGGGGGAGTCCGAGGGTCTGGACGGCTGCGGGAGGAGGGATTAGGGTCTTTGTTACTTGGTACATGTGGGAGAGCTAGGAGGATTTTGGCACCCGAGGGTGGGGGTCAGCAGTTACCATGGGGATCTGTATAGCCATTGAGTCTAAGGCCAGAAGGGTCCATCGGATCAGCACGTCGCCTTCCTGCACAGCAGAGGCCGAGAACCTCCCCAGTGACCCCTGTACTGAGCGCCCCAATGTACAGATCTGGGAGGGGCTGGTTTAGGCGTAGCCCGTACTATCCTTGTCTTTGCTGCGTGCCCAATGCCTGAAACATCCCCCCACCCCAGCTGTGTGCACTTCCCCCAGCTCCCTCCCACAGCCTCGCTGGTGCCCTGGGCTAACCCCTGGGCATGGGCATGACACATGGTTCTTAAACCAGCAGCACTTCTTTCCCTTAGAAGGGCAGAGCTTAGCCAAGAATGAAAATTGAAATGAGATAAGCCCATGCAGTGTGTGTGTGTGCGCATGTGCACATGGTGTGCACTTTCTGGGGCCAGTGTCCATTGCTATAAATACACCCGTGCAGTGGGTGTGTGTGCACACATGCATGTGCACCCTCTGGGGCCTGCGTGCATTGCTGTAAATACACCCAGGCAGTGTGTGTGTGTGTGTGTGTACCCTCTGGGGCCTGCGTGCATTGCTATAAATAAACCTGTGCAGTGTGTATGCACCTGCAGCATTGCTGTTATGTTTGCTTCGTCTAGTTTGCAATTCCTCTCTAGGAAGCTGCTCGGTTAGAGTCATGAATCTTGTTTCTTTCACCCCGGTCACACAAGGAGGCGGCGGGGAAGCCAAGGGTTAAACCCCAGGGTTGGGAGTCCTCTGTTAGCAGCTTAAAGTTCTCACTATTTATTTTAAAGGAAACAAGAGGGAGGGAGGCGGTGAGCAAGAGAGAGTGAAGGGGCGGGGGGAGGGGGCAGATTTTCAGAAGCTCCCAGGCAAGGCTCAGCACCCACAATTGGGGCCAGGTTCCTTAGCACGTTCAGTGCCCCCCCGGTGGCACCCAATATGACCCTGTTGGCCTTTGAGCTGTAATCACCAGATGCAAGGTAGCCCCGGAACACGCCTTACAGGGCCTTGATGGGTCTGTCTCCACTGCAGTTAGATATCTGTGGCTGGCCCGTGCCAGCTGACATGGGCTTGTGCGGATTGGCCAAGGGGCTGTTTAACTGCTGTGTGGATGTTCAGGCTCGACCTGGAGCCTGGGCTCTAGGACCCTGTGAGGGGCCCAGCCTGAGCCCCTTAGCCTGAGCCCTGCGCGCCTGTCAGGGGGTATGGGCCAGCCCCAGGTGTCTAACTGTAGTGTGGACAGACCCACAGAGACCTGATTGTGGAGAGCCCAAAATCTGCCAAGATTTGAGCACTCCTTTGCAACAGGGAAGCTAAATGGCTTGTAGGGCTGCTACGCTGCACTGGAACAGAGCGACTCCACCAGACGGTTGGGGTTTAGTTGGGGGATTTGGTAGCTGCTTTCAACTACCTGAAGGGGGGTTCCAAAGAGGATGGAGCTCGGCTGTTCTCAGTGGTGGCAGATGACAGAACAAGGAGCAATGGTCTCAAGTTGCAGTGGGGGAGGTCTAGGTTGGATATTAGGAAACACTATTTCACTAGGAGGGTGGTGAAGCACTGGAATGCGTTACCTAGGGAGGTGGTGGAATCTCCTTCCTTGGAGGTTTTTAAGGCCCGGCTTGACAAAGCCCTGGCTGGGATGATTTAGTTGGGAATTGGTCCTGCTTTGAGCAGGGGGGCTGGACTAGATACCTCCTGAGGTCCCTTCCAACCCTGATATTCTATGATTCTATGACACCCTCTCCCCTGCTCCTTCCAGGTGCTTTGCCGCTGCCTCACCCTAGAACCACAGGATATGACTACCCTGCATGGGAGCCCAGGGCTGCGGGACCTGGGCTTGGGCGTGTAGCGGCACAAACAGCTCCTGCTCCCGTTTTGCTACCGGCGTGCTGAAGCTGCAGGGGAGGGAGGGGGAAGCGAGGGAGGGGCTTTTGCTGCCGGAGTGGCCCCAAGTGAGCGGCTCAATCCGGCGCGGCTGCCCTGTCAGTCGCTTTTGGGTCTTTAGATAGCCGTCCGAGGGGAAATCCCGGACATTTTTAGCTTTTTACAAATTCCCCCCGGACGGCTATTTAAAGACCCAAAAGCCGGACATGTCCGGGGAAACCCGGACGGATGGTAACTCTATCACAGCAGGACTTGGGCTCTGACCTCCCCTACCCCAGCAGGGGCCCAGGAGCTGGCTGACCCAAGTCAGACTGATTTGTGTGTGGACAGAAGTGGGGACTTGGGCTCAAACCTGAGTCAGTCCTGGGTTTAGTGTGCCATGTAGACACACCGAGCCCTGTGCTCTGGCCTGCGTTAGGGACTCTGCAGGGTGGGCCCCTCCGCAGCTGTGCACTGGGCTGTGCTGAGCCAGGGGCTGGCTGAGGGGTGGCGAGGAGCTACCGCAACCGGAGCTCAAGCATTAGCCGTGCAGGGGCTGAGCTGACCTGCTAGTTCCAAGCCCTGAAGAATGAAGCTACTTCTCTAGTCCCCCCGCCCGCCCCAAACCCTTTCTCTTTTAAACAGACCTGGCAAATTAAAACACTCTGCTAATGCTCCAAGTACCCAAGCTAAGTAGCTCAGGGGGATGGGGGAGCCTCGGGTTAGCAGGCCAGCAAGTGATGTGTGGTGGATTGGACCCCAAGGGGTTAATGGGAATGTTGGCAGCTGATGTAACACAAATCAGACACGTTTCTAAACAGGATTGAGCATTTCCAGTTTTTATTTTAAGAAATATACAAAGAGAAATTGCTCTAGCTCATTGACTGAAACTCCTTGGTATTCTTCCACCCCTGCCCAACAAGTATGTACAAGCAACAGCAGCTATCAAACATGCTTGGTTGCCAGGACCGCACCCCCTTTCTCCACGGACGTTCACAGGTAAACACACTTGAACCCATCCTCTCAAGCAGTGAATAGCCCCATCGCCCTGAGCACGCTGACATCACAGAGTGCTGCTGATGAGCGGAGAACTTTGTTGTCTGCAGGAAAGATGCTCACCCTGCCACCCCAGCCCCCAAGGGGATTTGAACCCTAACCGTCTGCTGCTGGTTTGAGGCAAGTACACTCAGAGGAAGAGCCTGCAGGACCAGGGGCAGCAAGTTATATGGGTCCGTGGTGCCCGTGCTCCGGGAATATTCAGAGCACGGGGACCCAGCTCCCCCGCATGCCTTCCCCTGGAGCATCTCCCAGCCCCACCTGCCGCCCCCGGGCGATTTAAAAGGGCAGTGCAGCGGGGCTAAAGCGGCTTCCTGCCCGCCCTCGCTCCACACGGCGCGCCACTCCCGGAAGCAGCCGGCACGTCCCTGCAGCCCCTGGGGGGAGGGGTGTCTCCACACGCCACCCCCGCCCCAAGTGCCGACTCTGCCATTGGAACTGCAGCCAATGGGAGCTGTGGGGGCAGTGCCTGCGGGCAGTGACTCATGGAGACCCCTGTCCCCCCATCTAGGAGCCGCTGCCAGAGGGATGTGCGGGTCCTTTTCGGGAGCTGCCCAAGGTAAATGCTGCCCCCCTCACCCTCTCCTGCACTCCAACCCCCTGCCCCAGCCCAGAGCCTGCACCCAAACTCCCTCCCAGAGCCTTAGACGTGGGGGGGCGGGGGGATGGGACTTGGACCGTTCTGGGCACCACCAAAAATTACACAAACCTGCGGCTCCTGCGCAGAACCCTGCATTAGGAGAAATCGCCCTTTTTCTACTGGACAAGCCCTTGGGAAAGTTATTGGGGACAATAACCCAGACAAGGTCGGTCAGGAAGAACAATGCCTGTTCATTAACAGCAGGTCTCTGCTGTGGGCAGCTGGCTCCCAGCCTAGTTGCTGCATAGTCTGGGTGGAATTGCAGCCCTAGTTAAGTCAGTGGCAAAACACTGATTGGCTCCAACAGGCCGGGATTTCCCCCTGCTTGGTTCCTGAATCGCAGTCACAACATCCACCCGACGGGAAGGAAGAACAGAAATCACGCAGGGCCAAATCCCTGCCTGCCTCCAGAGGGGCTTCCAGCTTCTGCCTGGGGACGCAGTCCTGCCTCGTTCCATGCCATGACGCCCCGGCAGAGTCACTCTACAGCTGCTACAGCCATCGGAATGGACGCACCAGCAGCCGCACGGCCCTGTGCAGGGGACCTGTGTGCAGGGCCCTTGTGCTCAGTGAATCTTCAGGTTATGTCCCTGACCTCCCCCAATCCACCCACCCTGGTGCTCCGGAGGGGCTGGCTCTCCACCGCCGTCCACCCTCTGCAGCAGCACCATTCCCTTTGCTCTCAGGCTGTGCGCGCCCACGCCAGCGGGGAGGGAAGAGCAGGAGTCATGGCTTGAGCCTGCACCAATGGAAGCTTTTGCCATTGGCTTCAGTAAGGGCAAGTTCAAGCGATACAGCTCCAGCCCAACGCGTGCGTAACCTGGAGCCCGCGAGCGGTCCCATTGAAACCCACTGAGCGACTCCCAGGCTTAAAGCTAAGCACGGGCTGGGGCGTGTTTTGTGGGAGCAGGGGAATGCAGCGAGACCTGTGCTGAGTGTGCCATGCTGCCCCCATGCTCACTGCCTGCCAGGGAGTCGCTAGGAGCTTGGCCTGAGCTGGGGCTGCAAGATCAGGCCCCCACTTCCACAGGAGTCTGGAAAACAAATCTCTAGAGAGGGGCCCAGCTGCCCAGGGCTGGCTAGACCCGAGACCCTTCGTGATGGCCACTGGTGATGCTCAGTGACCCTTTGGCACCTCTGACACGTCATCTGAACAGAGCGAACAGAAGAGCGTGATTCCATTAGCCAAAGCTGAGCTGGTTACAGCTTACGTTACACAGCGTGACTGCTGCTCTAGTTCACAGCTCGACACCGGACGGTGCGGCTCTGAGCAAATCCACAGACCGATCAAGACAAAGGCTTCGGAGTCAAAACTAATCAGTTAGGAAGGCCTGTTTTGAAACTCTACCCCATCTGTTTCCACAGCAGAAAGTCCAACTCCACACTAAAGAGACGTGATAGAAAAGTCTCCCCGCCCAGTCAGAGGTCACTGTGTATGGGAGGAGGAGTTGGCAATAAGATTTAGAAAAGGGAAACAGTATTTCTAAGGTGACTTTTTGCTTTACTATTTTAGGCTTTGCACAGATGTTTTGCCCTGATATGTACTGTCCTCCCGGAGGACTGTTAATTCATAAGGTGGGAGGAAAGTATTAATCACCAAGAAAGCACAGGGTTTTCCACGAGTAGATAGCAATTCTGTAAATGTACCTGATCAAGCAATTCATTATAAATATTCCAGTGCAACCAAACTGTTTTATCACCTGATCTGGCTCCACATGGCAGCCCGTGACCTGATGGGAACAAAGATTTCCTGCGCCAGGAGATGTGCATTAGTTAAGATTTGGTGAAGCTGGACTAGAGGTATTTCTGTAGAGAGAAGTGGGAATATTTGGGAACTAGTCCCCATACACCATATTTTGGTAGCTATTTTCCTTTCACATAATCTAGTTCCTAGACTAAATGGGAACCCAGAAAAGCAGCATGGAAATAACTAGTTGACGTTCCTACTGTTCAGAGCTGAATGCTTTCTGGTGTAGATGAGTGTTCTGAAAAACTTTAAAAGCTGGCATTTAACCCTGAGAATATAGCTGCAGATTTTTTTTACTATGCAAACAAATCTTTAAGACATAATTGCACTTTTACTGTATATAACAAAAATCCATAACGCCTATTCAAAAGAAAGGTGCTACTTTTAAGACATTGGAGATTTTTGTTCACAAAACCTTGTCATTTCTGCAATTATTTTTAATATTATTTCACTTGGCTCGTCTCTCTCCTCTAATTCATTGCACTTCAGGAACAATAATGGGGCAAATACCTCAAGTGTGAAATAATATTAAGAAATAATTTTGAAAATAAAAGGAGAGCCATACCCAGTCGTTAACTTCTGAAACACATCGCTACCATGGTTATATCGTTTTAAAACTTACAGTGCTTCTCTTTCACCAGCAATAGAGAGATTTCACATTTACCTCAGAAGAAAAATACTCAATGCCGCAAGTCGCGGTGAATTATAAAACCTGTGATGAATATGAGGTTCTGGTTAAAAAGTTGAGATGGGTCTGAAATACGGTACTATGGCGTTAGCTGTCTACAGAGAGGGATATGGGAGCGTTCTTGCAGAAGAGATACAAATGGAGTCTTTGCAGGATAGGAAGATGAAAAGTGCTTTCTGTTATACTAATGACTCTTTCACCTCTCGCTCCCCATCCCGTTTTTTCGCCTCACTAGGAGCAGCTCGAGTCTCTGGGCTTGCAACTGGTGCTGCAAGAGCCAGGCCTGGGGCCATTTCCAGGTGTGTATCACCGTTCCCATAAATCTCGTTCATTTTGTCTACAATTAGTCCTTCTTTTTCCGGTGCTCCCTCTGCAAAGACGCCCTCCTCTTGACTATGCCTGTACAGATAAGACGCCTGTTTCATCGACCGCTTTAGTAAATACCTTCGGAAGGCTCTTTGGATTTTTATGGCACAGACTTCTTCGTGCTTCCTTTTCAAAGTCGTAGTGATGGGTTCATAGGAAACCTTGGATGGGTTGGCAGCCATGAATTTCTCCTCCATTGTGGCTTTCAAGCCGTCCATTTCCCCTGAGTCACCCAGCACTTCTTTAGTCAGCGCAAAGAGAATATCCAGACAGTGGATTTTATCTCCGACAACCATCGGTAAATCCATGGTGATTAATTTAATCTTGTTTGGTTTGGCAATCTTGAGTGGCTCTTGCAGGGTGTCTACAAAATCCGACAGCATGCTGTACGTGATAAACTGGGTGGCATCTGGATCAAACTTCTCCCACGTTTCATAGAACATTTCAAAGTCATCTTCACAGAGCGGTTCACTGCTCTCCTCTGTAGCCACATTGAAGTTCTCCAGGATGATGGCGATGTACATGTTCACAACGATCAGAAAGGAGATGATGATGTAGGTGCAGAAAAAGCAGATGCCAATAGACGGGTTGCCACAGTCTCCTTTTACTGAACTTCCAGGATTCTCCAAGTTAGGGTCGCAGTCCGGTGGGCCACTGTTCAGGATAGGGTTGAGGAGACCATCCCACCCGGCAGACGTCGTGATCTGAAACAAACAGATGATGCTGTTTCCAAACGTCTCGAAATTGAAGATGTCGTCGATCCCAGACTCCTTCTTGACGTAGGCAAAGTTGGACATCCCGAAGATGGAGTAGATGAACATCACCAAGAACAGCAGGAGGCCGATGTTGAACAAAGCAGGGAGAGACATCATTAAAGCAAACAAGAGAGTCCGGATTCCTTTTGCTCCTCGGATCAGCCGCAGAACACGCCCAATTCTTGCCAACCTGATCACCCTGAAGAGGGTGGGGGACACAAAGTACTTCTCTATGATGTCGGAAAGGACGATACCTGAAAAGGGGTGAAAAGAAGGTAAGCGTGGCTCGCTCCATGAGCTGAAGTAGTGAAGCAATGGGTAACCCGCTCTGGGTCTATATGCACCCTCTGTGCTGGAGAGCTGAGGAGGGGAATTCATGGGAAGGCAAGGGTGCTTAGCGGAGGACCATAAACTCACAGGGGCTGGAAAAGGCCTCAGGAAAGTTCCCTAGCCAGTGCTGCTGCACAATCCTATGTTCCCTGCGATTTGCCATCCAGCCACCATCTAAGAATCCACCACGTCCCATTGCTACTTGCCCCATTGCCTGACGTGTTTCATGGTTGAAAGGTTTTGCTTACTGCTCAGTCTAACCCTTGCTCTGTTCTGTTGCCCCCGGTACTTCTCTCTTGCTAAAGGTGACAATCATGCTTTAGCCCAGGGGTCGGCAACCTATGGCACGCGTGCCAAACACGGCACGCGAGCCGGTTCTGAGTGGCACGCTGCCTGCCGGTGAGAGGAGGAGGGGCGGAGGGGCCGGAAAGCGCCACGCTGGGGGAAGAAGGGGGAGGAGGGAAGCTTGGCTGCCGCAGGACCAAGCTTCTGCCTCCTGCCCCTGCTGGGGAGAGTGGGGGGGTCCCGGCCCCCCGCCCCACTCAGCCCCCCCCCCCACCACTCTCCCCTGCGGGGGCAGAAGCTTGGTCCTGCGGCAGCCAAGTTTCCCTCCTCCCCCGCTTTTTCCCACAGCTTGGTGCATTCCGGCCCCTCTGTCCCTGCTCCTCCCTCTCCCTGCCGGGATGGCCCTTGCGAGGGGGGGGGGAAGAGCGGCAGGCTGCACACAGCTCCGTAGAGCAGGCAGAGAGAGGGGGGGACGGGCCTGGGGGAAGGGGGTGGAACAGGACATATCCCTCCCAGCCCCCTGCCATGAGCCGCTCAGGGCAGGGGGCTGGGAGCACCCCCACGAGCCGAGCACCCCAGCCCTCTGCCCTGCACCCCCCACACCCAGCCTTGTGCCCTGCACCTCCACACCCCAACACACCCAGCCTTCTGCCCTGCACCTCCACACCCCAACACACCCAGCCCTCTGTCCTGCACCTCCACACACCCCCAGCCCCCTGCCCTGACCCCCCCCCCCCCCCCACCCCCCCCCTCCCCCCCCCCCCCCCCACCCCCACCCCAGCCCTCTGCAGGCCTAGGTGAACAGAACCCCAGGCTGGCAGTGGGCTGAGCAGGCTGGTGGCGTAAGATCAGCATTTAATTTAATTTTAAATGAAGCTTCTTAAACATTTTGAAAACCTTGTTTACTTTACATACAACAATAGTTTCGTTATATAATATAGACTTAGAGAGAGAGACCTTCTAAAAAACGTTAACATGTATTACCGGCACGCGAAACCTTAAATTAAAGAGAATAAATGAAGACTCGGCACACCGCTTCTGAAAGGTTGCCTACCCCTGCTTTAGCCCCTATTCTTCCACACAGGGAGAACAGGGAGAGGCTGGTGAGCAAAGATGGTGTGGCAGTTAGGGCAGTAGCATTCTGGCTTCGAATCCCAGCTGTGCCACAGACGTCTTGTGTGATCTTGGCCTCATCTGCCTGTCTGTAATGGGGGGAATTGCCCTGCGCTCCAGGGGTGTTCTGAGGATACCGTGGGAACAGGCAGCCCTTATTATTTTGAATGTATGAGTTTATCTAAAACAGCCTTGTAGCGCACATGCAAAGATTAAAATGTAGCCAACTCGTCGCTAATGAGACGCCCTCCCAGAAACAACGAGCCCTCCTGAGCCCTTGCTGCACCCCAGTCCATGCTAGAGGGGTGTGCCGTACAGTTCCTCCTGAAGGCTGAAAGAGGGGAGCAAGGGAGCCCTCCGCAAGGTACCTGGGGTTGCAGACAGACCTTAGCCCCTTGGAGAAGGGGAGGTCTGCCCATGTAGGATCCCTTTATGCATGGAACCCAGGGAGTTGCTTGCGGTGAGAACGTGGGGTAGGATTTGCGGGAAGCACTTTAGGGTGTGCGCTCAGGGAAGGTTTTAGTGAGCACACAGGAAGGAGTTTTTTAGGGGGAGCACCTGGGGAGCAGGACCAGGTTAAGGCATAAGCATAATGGGCCCCTGCACCTGGAGTCATGTGAATCTCAGCTTTAATATATATAAATAATCATGTTTCTAGCTCTCCTGGTTGTGAAGAAAGTCTTCAAAACATGCGCTGAGCATGACAATGCAGCAACAGCTGTCTGAGTCTGCAGACAGCCTGAGACAGTTGCTCTAAAAGGGGTGAAATGTCCCATGCATCCCTATGGGCTGTTAACTCTGAAACCTACTGCTTTGGGGGCCCTGCCACCTGCCCACCTCTTCTGGGGTGACTGATGTTGGTAGGGTCCCCTCACACCGAGTCCTCTATCTGGGAAGGGAGGCAGGGTGGAGATGTGTCCTCCCTCCTATGGGGTGGACTTCTGCCCATCTGAACAGTGCTCAGGGAGGCCCAGTCTGTCCAAAGAGGAATGGTGGTGGGTTTCTCGAAGTGGCTCATAGAGGGTGTCCACTCCTACCACCACTCCAGCAGGCACAGGAACAGTGGCAGAGCTAGGGCTCCAAGGCAGGGCCATGGGTCTCCCAGGTAGGGGAGTGCCACCAAACCCATATTTCCCATATAGGCATTTCTTCTCTATCTTGGTTGCTACAGAACCCACTTGGAGGCTTGCCTGAGTCAATGGAAATGCAGCTGGCGGCCGGTGCTTACCTCCAATGGAGAGGATGACCACCACAAAGTCGAAGATGTTCCAGCCAATGGTGAAGTAGTAATAGCGCAAGGCGAACATTTTGAGCAAGCACTCGCCCGTGAAGATGACGATGAAAATCATGTTGATGTTGTAGAGGACGTTGATTTTGGTTGGGCTTTGGTCGTCTGTTTCAACCATCATGGTCACCATGTTAAGACAAATCAGGACCATGATGATGATGTCAAAAGCTTGCTTTGTCACAAAGTCAAACACCAGCCCCTGACATTTGTTCTTTAATACATGGAACGTGGGTGAAGATGGAGGCAGAAGGGCAAGCCAGGAGGTGGAATGGACAGACAGGGCACAGTGGAGAATGAAGACAAAAATGGAAAGAGAGAGAGAGAAACAGTGTTTAGAAGAGGACAGAGACCCATCTGTCTTATCCCTCGTGCAGTGTGATCATGCAACAAGGATGTGGGCCCAGAGCCTCCCATGGGAGTTAGGCACCTAAATATCTTTGAGGATCTGGGCCGTGCTGCCTGGAGTGCTGTGGGCCCCTCACCTGCTGCTTAGGTCAGTGGGTGTTGCAAGATGGAGCCTAGCTGGCACATGCCGACGTCTCATATGTTATGGTGTAATAATGACATGTCTCCCAAGCGCCAGGCTCAATGACTGGGCCTCCCCACGATGGATCATTATTGAACCCTAATTAATGCCAGTTGTTTATCATGGAAAAAATGGGAAAGGTCATCATTTGAGTTAAGGGGAGGGAATGTCTTTTATTGGACCAAGTTGTGTGGTGAAAGAGACAAGCTTTCGAGCTACACAGAGCTGTGACACTCTCATGACCTTTCCCAGACCTGAAAAGGAGCTCTGTGTGGCTCCGAAAGCTTGTCTCTTTCACCAATACAAGTTGGTCCACTAAAAGACAATCCCTCCCCTACCTTGTCTCTCTAATATCCTGGTACCGACATGGCTACAACAACACTGCAAACAGCATTTGAGTTGTACCTGTTCAAAAAAGTCAGTCACAATCGTCTAATTATTAACCACCCCCATTTTCTATACTAGGACTGTTAACAGCTGCCAGGAATAGGGAAAAGCTGGGGATTTTCAGAAGAGCTGCCACACTGGGTCAGACCAACGGTCCATCTAGCCCAGTATCCTGTCTCCAAGAGCAACCAGTAAAGAGCTTCAGGGGGAGTGCACAGAACCGGCCAATTTTGGAGCGATCCACTCCTTGTCTTCCCCTCCTGGCTTCTGCCAGTCAGAGGTTTAGGGAGACCCAGGGCATGGGGTTGCATCCCTGGCCATCTTGGCTAATAGCCATTGATGGACCTGTCCTCCATGAACTGATTAATTCTTGTTTGAACCCAGTTATACTTTTGGCCGTCACAACATCGCTTGGCAATGAGCTCCACAGGTTAGTTGTACAATGTGGTGAAAAAGTCCTTCCTCTTGTGTGCTTATTAATTTTATTGGGTGACCCCTGGTGTTTGTATTGTGGGAAAAGGTAATTAACACTTCTCTCTTCCTTTTTGCTATACCAGTCCTCATTTTATAGACCTCTGTCATATCCCCCCTTAATCGTCTCTTTTCTAAGCTGAATAGCCCAAATCTTTTTAAACTCTCCTCGTATGGTAGCTAGGTCAGACCCTTGATTACCTTTGTTGCCCTTCTCTGAACTTTTTCCAGTTGCACTATATCCTTTTTGAAATGGGGTGACCAGAACTGCACGCAGTATTCAAGGGCTGGATTTAGATAGTGGCATTGTGATATTTTTGTCTTGGTTTCTATTCCTTTCCTAATGGTTCCTAACATTCTGGTAGCTTTTTTAACCACTGCTGCGCACTGAGCAGATGTTTTCAGAGAACTCTCCAGTGACTCCAAGATCTCTTTCTTGAGTGGTAACAGCTAATTTAGACCAGTGGTTCTCAACCAGGGGCCCGGGGCCCCCTGGGGGGCCGCAAGCAGGTTTCAGGGGGTCCACCAAGCAGGGCCAGTGTTAGACTTGCTGGGACCCTGGGCAGAAAGCTGAAGCCCCACCGCCTGGGGCTGAAGCCAAAGCCTGAGCAACTTAGCTCTGCAGGGCCCCCTATGGTCTGGGTCCCGGGCAATTGCCCTGCTTGCTACCCCCTAACGCCGACCCTGGCTTTTATATGCAGAAAAAACAGTTGTTGTGGCACAGGTGGGCTGTGGAGTTCTTATAGCATGTTGGGGGGGCCTCAAAAAGAAAAAGCTTGAGAACCCCTGATTTACACCCCATCATTAGAAGCACTTGACTATCCTCGGCACCTTTGAAAATCTGAACCCGAATGCTTGGCAGAGCCAAATGTGTAGCAATTCCTGGGGAGGTAAAAGACCAGAGGTGAAATGCTGCTCCCAGGAAAATCAATGGGAGTTTTGCCTTTGGCTTCAATGTGGCCAGGATTTCACCCCAGGCCCATGCCTGAGCAAACCCTGAGCGTCATGGAGTTTGTCACAAAACTCATTGGCCATTATGAACATCAAGCTGTAACACTGACACATATCTGGGAGCGTGACAGGAGGCTCATGCAGAAAGGAAAATACATGCACTACGAGAAACGACAGTTCGAAGATGGAGCAGTGACAGAATTGTGTTTGCTCGAAGGAGAACAGCCACGAGCCGTTTGGAAGTTTTAAGGAAAGGAAAACTTAAAGAAATCCAAACGAGCAAGTGATTTATAAAGCTGAAGTAGAAACTGCTAACAGGAAAAGGGGATTTGGGAGGTGGTGTCACAGGAATAACAATCTCTCAGAGTGCTTTACAAAGCACATCAGTATCAGTATCATTATCCCTATTTTACCAATGGGGAAACTGAGGCACAAGCAGGTGAAGTGACTTGTCCAAGATCGCCCAGCAGGCCAGGGTCAGAATTGGGACAAGAACTGGGTCTCCTGAGCCCCGGTGACTGCTCTAGCCACTAGGCCACGCTGCCTCTTCCCCTCACAGAGCTGATGGGCTCAGCCAGATTCAAAATTCAAAGAAAGTGGCATTTTTAAAACCGCTGCCACTCTCACCATTCCAACAACCAAGGGGCTGTGCTCGCGGTCCCAGCAGGGCCCTTCTGTCCTAGCAGCATTTGCAATGGCTGGGGACATCTAATGCGCTCAGCATGCGCTCTCCAGCACGTCCTGTCAGATGCCCACCCGTCCTGGCTCGGCCTCCAGAACAGCATGGGCTAAACTGGTTTTTTTCTGCTTTGCGGGTTTTGAGCCTTCTGGGGGGAAGCTGCCTGCTCCCCCACAAGTGCTCCCCTTGGCTGCTCAGAGGGGTCACCACATGCCTTCCCCTGTCTCCTGGGCTGGGGGAGCTGCCTCTCCACCATTAGCCATTGCCCTCCATTATCACTGCCCTGCCTCCTCCCCACACCTTTCTTCCTCCCTTTCGCCTAGGAACCACGGGCAGGGGGATGGAATCACCTGGGCTGGACGGTAACCAGGGCACGGGGCGAACACTCGGTGCTTGTGAAAAGGGCTATGGGACGACAGGTGGGCAGGACGTTGGGGCACGTCTCAGCCGACAGACAGCAGCAGGAGGACTCTAGCACCATGGGGGACCACAGAGGAACCCCCCACCTAATTTCCTGGGAGGTTTCCTCTCCACAGGGCTGATTCTGGGAGATGCTAAGTGCCCCCCCGCGACGCGCTGAGCACGCTCAGCTCCCAGCGGGGAACTCAGTCCTTGGCGCTTCTCAGGGTCAGGCACTCGGCAAGTACTCAGGGTACCTGGGCAAATACTCAGGGTCAGGTCCTGGTCCCTTGGGGGTAAGCCCTCAGTTACAGGCAGTTCTCCTGAAGTCAGAGCAGGAGACCATAACAAAAAGAAACCAGTCTATGGTGCATTAAATACTCCACTAGTACTGTATGGCTGAAGGGCTTGGTTTCCCAGGGCGCTCACCCAACACGCTGCCACTCTGAAACTCCATCCTGGCTGCTTGTTGCCAGATGTAAAAGCATAGGAGCTCTATGTGGAGCGGAAACAGTGATCCGAGGCGCATCACAAAACCTGATTCACCCTCTGGACACCTGGCCCCGGCTCATGCTTGTCGGCACCATTTCTGTTTCTAAACACCCCCTCCCACTAGCCCACAAACGCTTTTAACATGCCATACGTGGGGCCTGGGGATTGGCTTCTGGGGCTTCTTTGATCCAAGCTTTTTCATGGCGTTGTAGTATTTCTTCTGCTCCTCCGTCATGAAGATGTCCTTCCCTCCAAAGTATAAAAGGAATCACCATTATTAGACTTGGATACATTTTGGTTTTTAACAAGCATTTGCACCAGCTTCCAGTAACACTGGGAGGAATCTGCTGCTCCTGGCAAGTCTTGGGGCTTGGCTACACTACAAAATTAAGTTGACTTAAGTCGAAGTACAGCCACCGCAGTAACTATGTCCACACTACGCTCCTTCTGTCAGCGGTGCCTGTCCTCCCCAGGAGTGCTTCTACCGACTGAAGGGAGGCATTGTGGGGAACTGACAGCTGGAGTCTCCCTGCCCCAGTTGTCAGCCAGGCGCATGGCTCACAGTTGCCCCCGCCCTGGCGCTGACAGCCAACAGGCGATGTAAGTAACGCAATCTCTACATGGACACTGCATCGCCCTGACTACATTGATCTAAGCACTACACCTCTCACAGGGTGGAGTTATTAGGGCGCGGTAGGGGGTGACTTATATCGCCGGGAGTACCGTTGTAGTGTAGACACTGACACAGTGAGGTCGACGTTAGCTGCCTTACGCCCACCTAGCTCTGTAGTGTAGACCAGGCCTTGCTCTGCTGGGGGCAGCTTCTCCTCGAGCTCAGACTCCCTGTCCTCTGGCTTTTAGAGTCTTTTCTGCCCTGCTTTTCTTTTCTCCACCCAGGAATGGAGCTTGCTTTAACTGCAGCCATGTTTTAGCCAGAGCTACCCACAGTGGCTCATGTCTCTTTCCTTGGAGGATCCCACCAGCTCAGCAAACACTGCTGGCTCCTGAATCCCAGCTGCCCTGGTGCTTCCCAGCCCGTCTGGAGTTCCCCGTAATCCTCTAGGTCTTTTCCTAATGGAAGCAGCTCAGTGTCATCACCCATCACCCGGCCCCTCCCTCCCCACTCCGCATTTCACTGGAGTGCAGGGGATCCATGGGTGCTATGGCTCTGTCCTCCTAGGGGCTCTGTGCCTCCACAACACCCCTCCACAACACCCCTGCCCAGGCCCAGGCCCCTGCCCCCCCAGCGACCCCAGCAGAGCACGGAGGGCCAGGCCTGGCAATGCTGATGCTTCTGGGGTCAAAATCGAATAGAAAAGAGACTCCCTCCCTGCACCTTCTTTGGTTTTTCTGAGTACTTTCCAGGCCCCCTTTACACACCGTAAATGAGAAAACCCCAGGCACAAAGCCCAGGATGTGACTTCTCAGGTTCCCATAGGGAGCTCATTTAGCAACCCCAGTGATCAGGAAGAGTGGGCGCCGGCACGGCAGGGAACTGCCCAGGGGATTCTCAGCTCATGTACAGCAGCTTCTCTGCTCCTAGGCTGGGTCTGCTCCTGTGTCTGACCTCTCACTGTGACCCCACACCCCCGTCTGCGCCCTCGCCCAGGCAGGGCCGGCTTTAAGCCGATTCACCCAATTTCCCGCGCCGAAGAGGGCCCGTGCCCGCGCCTAATGGGGCCCCGCTCCGGGGGTCTTCAGCGGCATTTCGGCGGTGGGGGGTCCGCTCCGGGGGTCTTCGGTGGCATTTCGGCACCGGGGGGTCCTTCGGTGCTGCGGAAAACCCGGAGCGGACCCCCCGCCGCTGAAGTGCTGCCGAAGCCCCGGACTGCCGCCGACTATTCCAATCGGGCCCCGCGGGTCATAAAGCCTGCCCTGCACCCAGGAGCTGCAATTCGCTGCCCGCCACAGAGCGCTCCTTCCTGGCCTGCCTCCTGAAGCTCTGCGCTAGGAATGACTGCGGGGCAGTGCTCTGGGTTATGCAGGAGGCCAGACCAGGGGCGGCTCTAGCTTTTTTGCCGCCCCAAGCATGGCAGGCAGGCCTGTGGGAGGTCCCCAGTCCCGCGGATTCGGCGGCATGCCTGCGGGAGGTCCCCGGTCCCGCGGATTCGGCGGCATGCCTGCGGGAGGTCCGCCGGTCCCGCGGATTCGGCGTACCCGCCGCAGAATTGCCGCCGAATCCGCGGGACCGGCGGACCTCCTGCAGGCAAGCCACCGAAGGCTGCCTGACTGCTGCCCTCGCAGGGACCGGCAGGGCGCCCCCCGCAACTTGCCGCCCCAGGCACGCGCTTGGAGTGCTGGTGCCTGGAGCCGCCACTAGGCCAGACTAGCTGATCCCAATGGCCCCGTCCGGATCTCCAGGGCTATGGAAATGCCAGGAGCCCAGGCGGGCCAGGAAATACTTATCTTTTTCTTTTGCTGGTTGAAGTTGTCGATAATGACGCCGATGAAGAGGTTGAGGGTGAAGAAGGCGCCGAAGATGATGAAGATGACGAAGTAGATGTACATGTAGAGGTTGGTCTCATACAGCGGCTGTTCTTCGATCTGAGTGAGGAGAAGGGGACGCGTGAGTGGCAGGGCACAGCCCACTCCCTCCCCCCCAGGCATGGGGTCACTGCTGCACTGCAGGGGACTGGGAATGCTGACAACCCAGCCTCCCCCCTGCCCTGACATTGGGGCCCTGGCACAAAGAACAAAGAACGCACTGCTCCTCCTCTTCCCCCAAGGCCCTGCCCCCGGGCCAGGCTGGAAGCTGGAGCCAGCCTGTGGTAAGTGCTGCCCAGGGAGCCTGGTCCACTCTGGGAGCCCCGGACCCTCCACCTGCCCTGGAGACGCTCTGAAAAGCTCCGTGCCGCAGAACGTCAGTCTGCCCCCAGCTGCAGATGTCATGAGGGAAGGTCAAGAGCAGCTCCTGGGACGGACTTGGCTATGGGAAAGAAGTGGGAGCATAGGGTGGGGGGACAAAGCTTCTGTCATAAACATACAGCTAAGGGTAACATAAAATCCCTCCTTTACCTGTAAAGGGTTAAGAAACTCAAATAATCTGGTTGGCACCTGACCAAAAGGACCAATGAGGGGAGAAGATACTTTCAAATCTGTGGGGGAAGGGTTTTGTTTTGTCTCTCTGTGTGCCCTCTCCGGGTTAGCGAGAAATCAGGGCAGGGAAAATACATCTCCTAAAGCCATACCTGAACTAAGCATGTAAGATTACAAATTGTAAGTATAGAATGTCAGGGTTAGATGGGACCTCAGAAGGTCATCTAGTCCAACCCCCAGCTCAAAACAGGTCTAATCCCCAGACTGATTTTTGCCCCAGATCCCTAAATGGTCCCCTCAAGGATTGAACTCATAACCTTGGGTTTAGCAGGCTAATGCGCAAACCACTGAGCGATCCCTCCCCTTAGGAAGGGAATGCATTATATCCCCTCTCCTTAGGAAGGAAATGATCCCCCCACCTTAGGAAGGAAATGCATTATATTATCTTTTGTTTTAGCTTGTGAATTTTCCCTAGGCTAAGAGGGAGGTTTATTTCTGGTTTTTTGGTAACTTTAAAGTTTTGCCTAGAGGGGAATCCTCTGTGTTTTGAATCTGATTACCCTGTAAAATTACCTTCCATCCTGATTTTACAGAAGTGCTTCTTTTTACTTTTTCTTTATAATGAAGTTCTGCTTTTAAGAACCTGATTGGTTTTTAGTGTCCTAAAAACCCAAGGGCTGGTCTGTGCCCACTTTGTTAACTATTTGGTTGGTATATTATTCTCAAGCCTCCCCAGGAAAGGGGGTGAAGGGGTTTGGGGGATATATTGGGGAAACAGGAACTCCAAGTGGTTCTTTTCCTAAATCTTTGTCTAACTCACTTGGTGGTGGCAGCGATACCGTTCCAAGGAAAAGGAAGAATTTGTGCCTTGGGGAAGTTTTTAACCTAAGCTGGTAGAGATAAGCTTAGGGGGTCTTTCATGCGGGTCCCCACATCTATACCCTAGAGTTCAGAGTGGGGAGGGAACCCTGACAGCTTTTGTCCCAGAAAAGAGGGGGAGATCTGACAGTTTAGGGGTCAGCTTGGAGTACTTTTGGGGGGGCTGGTTTCTGGGGGGCGCTGGCAAGGCAAAGGGGGAGGGTGGCGCCTGCAGAATGTGTGATCAATGAAACATCAGGCTGTGTCCTGTTCCCATGGTTCACTGCTCAGCTATGGGACAGGGTGAGAGCTCCACCCCTCGACCTGCCCGAGCCCCCCAGCTGGTGAGTGGGACCTGGATCAGTCTGTCAGTGCCGGGGACGGAGCACAGAGAAAGTGCCCCTCAAAGCCCTAAGCTGGCCCCAGGGCCATGCTGAACCATGCAGGGCAGGGCTCCTTGTCCCAGCATGCCCTGTGAAGCCAGGCGTGTCGGCGAGAGAGCTGCAGTACACGCTCCTTGCTCTGTGTCACCTCACCTCGCGGGAGTCCACGGCCGCATACATGATGTCCATCCAGCCTTTGAAGGTGGCCTGCCGGGACAGCACAGAGCAGTGGAGTCAGTCCCCAGGGGAGCTCAGCACGTTGGCTACTGAACATCTGGCCCCTGGGCTGTGGAATAACCAGGCTTAAATTCCTGCCCTAACTCAGGCAGAGCAAGGATGTAAGCCTAGGGCTCCTGCATCCCTTAGAAGTGCGCTAACTACGGGGCTCTCATAGGGTCTAGCACAGCCTCTCCCGCTTGGACCAGAGATTCCAGCCGAGATGCAAGGAGCCTTCCCAATGAATGGGTCCCTGAAACTGAGACATTTCCAGGGGAAGTTCCCCCTTCGACAAATCGCCATTTGGACAAAAAACCTCATGTTGAAAAATTCCCAAGCAGCCTGCCATGGAACAACCAAAACCCCCACCCACACTCCATTCGGGGGGAGAAGCTACACTGATCCCTGGAGATGGTGCTTTACGTCTGTCTGGGGAGCCCAGAAAATTGCAGTGTCACGCGATGGGGCAGGCTGGTGTCAACCACTGAGCTGGACCAGGAGCTATCTCAAGCTCCAGCTTTGCTAACCAGAAGTCTAGCTGACTCCTTGGCTTCCCAGTTAGCTTCCGGGCTGCATTTGTACAACACACAGCTAACTGATCACTGCCTAGCTGTTAACCTGTAGCACCTGATCCTGAGTCTCTGGCAATCTGGGGGGGTTGGACCATTCACTCCACCAGGAGCTGGAGCGGGCTTGGTGTTTGTGACTGAACAAAAGAGGGTGCATGTCTCGTTTCCTGCATTAGATGGCATGACACCACTGCAGGGGAAGCTGAGCACCAGACTGGTGATCAGCTAGGGCTGCACTGGGTGCCAATCTGACCTGGAGGGGGTGACCTTGGGCAAGTCCCTTCCCCTTTCTGTGCCTCAGTTTCCCCCACCCCCTTCTGTAAAATGGGGCTAATCATTTGGTCGTATCTATTTTTCCTGTAAGCCCTTTGGGACAGGGACGGTCACTCCCTCTGCACTAGCACAGCAGAGCCCTGATCTTGGTCAAGACTCTAGGTGCTACTGTCAGGTACATAATGAGAAAATAAAGCCCAGCAGCCTGGTGCCTAGGGACTGCAGGGGAGCCTCTCACTCGGCGTCTGACAGCTGCTCTATCTGGGGAGCTGTGCCAGCCTGGGGTTACCCCGGGCCAAGAGCTGCCGCGCGATGGAGTCCTTACCACCTGCAGCAGGGACAGGTAGCCCAAGCCCACGTTGTCGAAGTTGACCTTGACGTTGACCCAGCGCACCTGGTTGGTGTGGAGCAGCGCCAGGCAGTCGCTTTTGTTGTTCACCTCGCTGATGTCAAAGAGCTCGTCTGTAGTGGTGTTGATGCACCGGTAGTACTTCCCCGCAAACAGGTTCACCCCCATGATGCTGAATATCAGCCAGAAGATCAAGCAGACCAGCAGAACGTTCATAATGGAGGGGATGGCACCCAGCAGGGCGTTCACCACCACCTGCAACGGGAAGGGAGAGGGGGCTGGGTTGGCCTGGGGGAAACAGCTCGGGACCTGGTGAGTGGCAGTTCTGTGGCTGGGTGCTAGCTCTGCTGCTCGGATGGAATTACAGGTACCCCTCACCTGGGAGCAGATGCGTCTCCTCAAAGCCACCTGGACAGGTTACTGTGCCGCAGGTGCAGTTATCTGGAGTTCCTGTGTGAGGCACACCCCACCACGGCCAGATTTGAGCCTCCCCACTCCACATAGCCGAAGAGCACACGGGATGCGCCACCCGGGAGAGATGGGACCTCGTCTAGCTGGAACAGGATTGTCAGGGACTGTCTACACTGCAGTCAGAGGTGTGATTGCAGCATGTGTAGACATACCCACCCTGGCTCTGCTGTAGCTAGATCACTGAGTGCCAATAGCAGGAAAGCCATGGTAGCACGGGCGGTGGCACAGGTTAGTACCATGGTCTCCTGGGCCTGCCCCCTCCTCTTCCATTTCGAAGCTCTAGGCCGGCACTGCGGAGGAGAGAGGAGCGGGCAGCGGGCCAGGCACGGGCCAGGTGTGGTGCAATCCAGGGCTGCACTTTGAGGGCATTAAAGTCCCTCGTTGGAGCAACTGGGCTTCAAAGAGTGAGGCCCAGAGGAGAACATCTACCCAGCAGGCTGCGTTACCTCCATGCACCACCAACGCCAGCTGGAGAGCGAGTCTGAGTCTACTGAATACAATTTGGGGGCCTGGCCTCTCTGTGCCCACCCTGTCCTTCCCTCAACTCTGTGCAGGCAGCCACAAGCCAGGCAGGAAGTCCTGTCCCTTGCCCTCTGTGAGCACTCCGCACTCCCCATCGCTGGGTCTGTAAGGGAGCGAGTCTTGGGATAGTTGAGGATCTTGTTAAAATCCCAGCTCCTGGAATCTGGTGATTTCATGAGAATTCTCGGCTTTCAGTAAAGAAGCAACGTGTCTAGCCCTTGTGATTGCAGAGAAAAGCTTCCACACATGACCCCAAAAGACCAGCAAAGGAACTTGCCAAAGTTACTAGTTTTAGAATCTCATGATTTTAGGCCGATCTCCAATTTCCGAAGGCTGGGCTTTGGCAATGCGGGGCACCCATTTCCTCTGAAAAGCCCTTTCTAGAAGCACCAGGGCACAGCCGGCTCTGTGTCCAACACATTGGTTCCCTCGGCCCTCACACCGAGAAGTACCTAGCGGTTCTGGGTCTACCAGGTGCTAACGACCCGGGGTCACACCTAGCCAGGAGACCTGGTGAAGGACCTACCCTCATGCCTTCGAATCTTGACAGAGCCCGCAGTGGTCGCAAAGCCCTCAGAGTCCTCAGCGATTTGATGGCACCCAGTTCGGAATAGCCCAGCCAGTTTGCTGTCAAGCTGATAATGGAAACCTTGGGAGAAACCCAGAGCCGTTAGCAGCGGCACCGATAGACCCAAGGCAGCTCCAGAGGAGATGGCAACCTACATAGGCGCTGATGTCCTCTGTTCCCAGGGGAGTGCTTGACCCCTGCTCTGCCCCAGGCCCCGCCCCCACTCCACCCCTTCCCCCAAGTCCCCACCCCGCCTCTTCCCACCCCTGCTCTTCCCCAGGCCCCGCCCCCACTCCACTCCTCCCCCCAAGCTCCCACCCCACGTCTTCTGCCCCCTCCCCCGCCTCTTCCTGCCCCTGCTCCTTCCCTACCCCCCCAGCGCCTCCTGCATGCCACTGAACAGCTGATCGTGGGGGGTGAAGGTGCTGGCAGGGAGGGGGAGGAGCTGATCGGTGGGCCGCTGGCGGGTGGGAGGCGCTGGGGCGGGGAGGAGGCACTGATCCATGGGGCTGCCGGTGGGTGCTGAGCACCCACTACTTTTTTTCCATGGGTGTTCCAGCCATGGAGTACCCATGGAGTCAGCACCTATGGCAACATGCCCTCTTCCCCTGCAGGGCCTGCGCCTCATTCCCCATCCCTGATGGACATTTCCCACCAGGAGGATTGGTGCTCAGAGGCTCAGCCCACTGGTTACGGGGTGAGCCTGGGGTTCAGGGGACCCTGCTTCTTTGCACATGCCCTGGGTGACCGTGGGCCAGTCCCTTGGGGGCGATCTACACAGCCTGGGCACCATAGGTGGTGCATGACTCTTGTGTTAGGGGAGGCTGGGTGCGAGCGCTGGAAGCTCCCAAGAAGTGGGGAAGGCCGCTGGCACCTGGACCATGGCCCCACCTCCTGCTCCGCCCTGAGGCCCCTCCCACTCCGCCTCTTCCCCTGAGGCTCCCCCACCCGCCGCTTGCTCCTCTCCTCCCCGAAGGACCCCCTGCCTGCTGCTTGCTCCTCTCCTTTCCTGAGGTCCCCCCTCTCACCCACTGCTCGCTCTCTCCTCTCTGCCCCCACCCCCAAGACTGCCCCACCCGCTGCTCATGCCTCATTACCCCCTCCCCCAAGGCCCTGCCACTCGTGTCTCTCTGCCTCCTCCCCTAAAGAGGCGTAAGTGGTGGGCAGGGGGGCCTAGGGCGGCAGAGGCAGAGCAGGGGCAGGAAGAGGTGCAGCGTGGGCAAGGCCTCGGGGCAGAGTGCAGGCAGGGCCACAGTCCGGGCACCAATGGTGCCCCCACTTCTCGGGAGCTTCCAGCGGCAGCGCTTCACAGGCGGTGGGCCCACATCCGCCATTTCTTGCCCCGTTTGGGGAGACCTAGCCTCTTATACCCACTGCCCATGCCAGGCAACGAGCCTCTGAGCCGGGGCCGACAGACTCAGGCTTGCTCTGCCGTGCTAAAGAGCTCTGTGGATGCCGCGGGCCGGGCTCTGGCACCTCGGGAGGGCTTCACAGTCCAAGCCCTGGCCTGAGCTGCAGCTTCAGTGCTGGGGTTTGTGGGTAGAAGGGGGCCAGTGCTGGGTTTGGGGGGAGAAAAGGGGTCAGTGCTGGGGAGGGGG